TAATTACAGAAAGCAAGAACTTGGGTTTGTGGCTAGATACTGATCTGAGATTTCACAAACATATAAATTCACTTTGTCGTAGCTCATACAGTATCTTACGTCAACTCTATCAAAGTAGAGATATTATGACTTCCAAATTGAAGTTGAAACTTTGCGAAACCCCCATATTGTCTAGACTGACATATTGCGGTACGAACTACGGGCCTACTTTGATACAATTTGATGTAAATCGCTTACAAAAAATACAAAACAATTGCATTCGTCTTTCTTATGATGTGAGTCAGGTTGGTTACCGATTGCTAAAACCTGGCAGTTCCACTCATCCGTCAATACACATAAATTCCTCATTTACAAAAATTATATTCATGAAAGATATAAAACTTTCAAATCCCAGAATAATTCGAGAACACGAAACCGTCACACTTTTATTATTCCAAAACACTCGATAGCCTGCTTTCCTCGAAGTTTCATTTACAAATCTATCGAACAATATAACGCTCTGCCCAGTGAATTTATACACTACTCCATATATAATTTCATGAAAAAGTTGAAAACATATGTGGAGTCTTCTGGATAAATAATATATTCATGTTATGCCTTGCCCCTATGGTTTTCTCTTTGTCTCACTTCTGTGTATGTTTTGCTATATATTTTACCTCATTTGAGCTAAATAGATTTTTAATATTCGCTTCGAAATTTATAGCCTTTGTTTTTTTCTTAGTTCTACAAAGATTCATGAACTACTCACTTATCAATGTATACTAGGAAATTATTTTTATATTTCTATATAAAACATGCTATCCCCTAGGTTATGTTGTAAAACAGCATCGGCTGAACTTCGCCCTTTCATTGATTTTTGTATCTTCTTCTTCTTTATAAACAATGTATGTCAATGAATAAAGCCCATTTATTGTTATTATTATTATTGAAACTCAGCTCTCATGTTGAATAAATAAGTGAACCTTCTATTTGGCCAAGTTGTGTTTTTAGCAAAATTGTCTTACCTACAATACGTTTCTCTCAGTAATCATTGTTGAGCTACTGACATTATACAGAAAAAGAATAGCTTCACAAATAGATGACTGTGTTCACGATGAAGCTGATGAAGTCAAAGTTCACATCCTGTCAAATTCACATCCATATTTGTTCAACAGTGAAAAGAAATGACGAAGTAGAAAGAAGGGACTGTTCATAAATGAAACTGTTTATTTCATTACAAAGTGGTTCATTTGACATTAGAAAAATTCCTGTTTTATTCTATTTTTTCTGTGGCGAATTATGTATCCTCTATACTCACGCAATTGATTGAAAAATTCACCATTTGGTATGTTCTTGTGTCTTAAGTTGAGTTCGCATAAAACTTCATATGACCGGATTTTTTCCAGTCATAGATTTGATACTTATACAAGTTTCTAGGTTGTAAGAACCTATGCATCTGAAACTAACAATCACTATTTTGTTACAGTTTTGTTTTATATTCTAGCGTCTGAGCTTTCCATACCTACTTATATATTACATGTCGCATGTTGCATTAGAAATTCCTGCTACGGGTATTCGAACAAATTTCGACAAATTCCTAAAAAAATAGCCTGGATGTGAACGTGGAGAAAATTGGACACTTTCAAAGGGAAAGTCCAGCTTTCAAACTGAAGTATATGGAAACTCATGGCTGTGTCTGAGGGTCAAATTTTATGGCATACTTAACGATGGAAACCGCATGTCGATATCTATCATCGCTTCGAGCATGGCTTTCGAAAATTTTCATTTTCGAAAAGTTACTGTGACTTTTTGCCAGTCAAAAATTTATGTTTCTATGTTTTTTTTTCAGGTGTTGTAATTGTGTGAGGGTAAGGGATAATTTTTCTCCTTGAGGTACGTTAAAATTACTTCGAAATGAAAGAGTTGACGAATGTCATAAACACCGGCTTCGCAAAGCAAATTGTCTGTGGGAAAGCGTGAACTTTTCAAATGTATTAGTTTTAGAAATTTGTTTTGTAGTACTTCCAGAGGACGAAGGTGTGTTCATGCATGCCCTAGCATGCTATCCCATCCCGTACATGACTTTCTACTAGTGCGATCTAAAGAATTTTCAGGTGGTGGGTGGAAAATATTTCTCTTAAAGTTTTGAATCTGCGTAGAATACTTCGCAGCTTTTTGCAAATGGATTTTATGTGCTCATTCCTTTTAAGATGTGAATCAATAATTACTCCTAAATACTTCACCTTATTTTCAGGACGAATCAAGTGTTGATTGCCTAGGTCTATACAGGAAAAGGGTGGTTTGTTCGTGCTATTGCAGCTGAATGGCATGTACTGGGTTTTCTCTGAATTTATGCTTAATAGCTCACATTCGAGCCAGTTTTTTATTGTATCAAAGTTCGATTCTACAGTATATTTTAATCCTTGCCAATTATTTGCCATTATAGAATATTGTTGTGTCGTCTGCAAATCCTAAAATATCTCCTTTACTTTCTAGTAAGAATGAGTCATTTATGTACAGATTGAATAGAGTAGGTCCAAGAAACGTACCCTGAGGTATCCCAATTTCAATATGTTTCTCACTGCTTATAATTTCATCTATTCTCACCGTTTATACTCTGTTCGTGAGGTAGCTTCTGAATGGATTCAAGGGAGTACCTCTTATGCTATTATCTTCCATTGTTTGTAGAAGCAATGTGTGTTCGACGGTGTTATACGTTTTCGATAGGTTTATGAGAACGCAGAGATTCGGCTTATTTTCATGAAGCGCTGAAGATATTTCAGATGTTAATGCTGATATTGCATATTATCTCTAAATACAAATTGATGATCACATATTAGATTGTATTTTGAGTTATTTTTCGAAAACTTTCGTTAGATGTGTTTCATCAGCGATATGAGGCAATAATTTGTCATAATATCTGTATTCCCCTTTTTAAACAAAGGAGTAACAATCGATTTTCTGAATGCTGTTGGCCAGTAGCTTCCATAAACAAATTAAACAAATATGCTAGTGGTTCC